GGGTATATTACAGAGTATATTGGTGTTTGGAATAAAGACTTTTTTGAACCTAGAAAAATCAAGATTAATCTTCATGAAGAAAAAAAAGAAAATTCTATTGGGTATTCTTTTATAATTAAAAGCATTTAATGATGTTTGTTTATTTGTATTTACTTTGTTTCTTTGTGTATTATATATTACCTTATATATTATTAAACAGAATATTATCTTGATTATTATTAGCGCAATTATATTATATCCAACTATTTTGGTTGCATTCATCATCTTCATCAGTAAGATGATAAACAATTATTTGTAAGAATAACATTTTTTTTTTTTTCACTTTTCAATTTCAATAAAATTTCAAATTTCGTCATCGTTTTATGGATATACAATCATTTATCTTTGAAATAATTTTAATTATGGACATTCAGGAGTCTTTCCCTTAATAAAATCTCGGGCAAATTGAACAATTGATGATGTTTTGAAGAAATTTTATGGACGTAAATTAAATTTTGTCGTATATGTCCATTTTCATTTACAATTAAATGCTACTTACCACATTATCTTGAAGCAAATGAAAAAAAAATAATAGCTAGAAATTTAAAGTTCTATAACGATCTTGCTTTTAAATTTATCTTGTTCCAACCCTAATTTCCTACATTATAATAATCTAATTCATTGAACATTTTTGTTACAAGCTTTCGAATACATTTTAATGGACAAGCATGAATTTATTTTTAAAATGGTGACGTTTATATTTTCTAAATGTTACAAAGTTATTAAATGCATTTTTGTTTTTTATTTGATGATGTTGTGAAAATGAAATTATGTGAATTCGCAAATTAGCCAAAATAATATTTCAATTTCACATACAACAGATGTTAAATATCACAGATCACGCAAATAGTTATAAGTTATTATATCTTTGAAGATTTTTACCTAAATTTTATAAGTGAATTGTTTCGAATTCAGCTATAAACTATAGGGTTTTTTACAAAACATTTTCACGTAACTTTTTTTTTGTAACCGGTCTACTTCTTTTTATTTATAATTAAATAATGTAAAAAAACAAAATATGTCATAAATTATCACTAATTTATAAACTTAAGCCATAGTTTTAAATTTTTCATTTCTAGATTTAATAAACTTCCGCTTCACGCTCTTGGATTTTGTTGAATTACAAATCTT